AACAACAATCTTCTTGATTATCCTGTAGATTGACGATGGATGACGATTGAGCAGAAAACATTAAAGTCTTGGACACAATTTTGGTTCTTTTCAAGAATAAAGATGTGGATCAGAAATCAACTGGTTTAAATATAAATAAATATAAAATTTTGCATTGTACTTTTTACCCTTACAGAAATTATAAGAGAATTTATTGTTAGGTAATATTTTTATTGGTGTACAATAAACATATTATAATTAAAATATGCATAATTTTTTTCCAAATTTAATTTCATAAATTTTACCTGAGGTATATAATTGTAATAAAATTGTACAACCCCAATTAATAATAATTCATTTTCAAGTGAATTATAATCAAAAATATTGAACAAATGAAGTAGTTAGTTTTTATAAATGTAGAATGAATTGCTTACTTACTTCAAGAAATTACAATATTTTAGATTTTTTTAAAGAATTATACAAATACAGTGGAACCTCACTTAACGAGTTTAATCCGTTCCAAAATTTTCGGATTTTTACTCGTATAGTGAAATACAAGTATAATGAAACATATTCAAAAATACACATAATATGTGTACACAAGCTTTAAAAATGATGTAGCAGGCGTGCACTAAATATGCGAAACGTCCCTCGTTAAGCGAGTCATTTTTCTTACAATTCATTTGCTCGTTAAGCGAAATTTTCGTAAAGTGAGGTTACACTGCATTCAGCTTTTTCATTTATACTGTTCATAGTAAAATATATAAATGTGTAAGGGATTAACATATGTATATACTTTACTATGTATTTTCAATATTGATCTCTCATCCTCGCTATTATTCATTCACAGCAGAAATTATAGAAGAGTCCCACTATAAATTCTGTAATTTCTGGTAAAGTGAAGCATATTTCTTGCGCTACAGCTATATTCCAATTAAGAACCGTTTATATAACGAAATGGAAACGAACGGCCGTCGGCTTTCATAATTCCTTGTTTCCGCCGAAATAAATCTCCACATTGAACATACAATTTATGTTTGTTTCGATCCAATATATTCTTTTAGTGGTCTGTTTATTTGGCCATTTCCAGATCCATTCGGATTTCCTCTGTATACAATCTTTAATTTTATCACTTCTCGCAGCATTTGCCATGTCCTCAGTATATCGTATAATCTAGTAACAGTTCTTTCTACTATAAATGTCACAGTATCTTGCAGCTTTTGTAATCTTTTTGTACAGACAAATTTATAGTAACAATAACTTACTGGTAATAAAAAAATAAAACCACATCTGACATAATAGTATATTTAAAATCAGTTTCGGTTTCGCCAATATCCCGGACTGTTTGAAACCGAACTAATGGACAAACTAAATATATTTAAAGATTTAAAACACACAAAAGGAGACTTGACTTTATACTTTGAAAAAAAAAATATATAAAAAAAGTAATTTTGTCTACTAATTTTTGGAAATTTTGTCAATTAAAATGTAGTTTACTTTAAAATATTTAAACAGAACTGTAGTGAATCCGAATTTATCGAAACCGTCCTATGCGAGGTATTGCATAATTTTTACTTATTAAAATCAACGAAAATGAGAATTCTTTCACAAACTAAAGTTTTTTTTCAATTAATTAATTTCTATTATTAGTCCTTAATATTAACTATTATTCATATTTCTATATAACTATTTCAGATTAAAATTTCATCACTTCAAATTTTTTTTTAATCAATTCTCGAAATTAAGAAAATTATTAAAACTTTTATTGTTTTGATATTTGATTCATAAAAAAACACGTTAGTAAATAAACATATTAAATAGGTAAATTATAAATAAATATTTATTAGGAATACTTAAACTAAATACATATAAAAATGAGAATATTACACACAAACCCTAAAAATGTTCTTGTTAATATTTACAAATTTAAATGAAGAATTTACTCATTATATATTTTTTTAATGTTTTTATATATTAGAAACTTTAAATCAACTGTTGAAACGAAAACTATTACAAACACTAACTAATCCTAGTATGTACTCGAAAATTTTAGTATTTTGTTTAAAACAATTCAAAAATATTTTTTTAAATAAACTATTTTTAATTAATAAATTAAATTTTCATCGTTAATTTGTGTTCATACAAATCTACCAGCAGTACCAAATATTTATCTAAAACCAACATTCCATTAAACGATTTTACAAAGACACTTACGCAAGTTCATATGTAGGTTTCTCCGAAGGCAATCGTAATCCCGACAACCGAAATACCGTCAATCAAATTCCCGACGTTTGAAATGCCGACTGTATCAAAATCCCGAGAATCATAATCCCGAATATATCAAAATCCCAACTATATTAAAATCTCGACAACCATAATCCCGACTGTATCAAAATCCCGACTATATCGAAAATGTCTACAATAACATTTTTAAATTGCGATATAGACCCAAGTTTCTCAAGTAATCACAAAAATAGTCTTATGTATTGACTATATAGTTAACATTATGCGTAAGTTTTCAAATTATATACAAATATTTGTCGCGTTTCAAGTATTTCTAAATAAAATTAATTACAATTCATAAAAATAAAATATTAATTTTTCTAAATTTTAAATAAAGATGAGAAAAAAATAAGTATTCAATAGGATATTAATTATAGATTAGTCAAGAAAAAATCTTTTTCATATAAGTAATGAAAAAGTTTTAAGGAACAGAAATGGCGGGATCTGGATTTAATTTTGGATTTGAGAATTGATATTGAGTTTAGGATCAAGAAGGATTCCTAGGTATTTAACAAGTGGTGATGTTAAAATGGAATGATTATTTAACGTAACATGGGGAGACGAAGGGTATATGCGATGGTAAGGAATAGGGAGTTTGGTTTTGGATGGGTTAATTTTGAGGCGCCATTTTTTAAACCATAAAATCGTTGAGGACAGGAGGTTGTTCAATGTAGTGTCATCAGCGTATTGGAGGACATACAGGTTGGGATCGAAGGTATTAGGATTGGGGCTATACATATCACAACAAAAAAGGTTATATAACAGAGGAGACAGAGGGTAGCCTTGCGGGACACCCTGAAGCGGGGAAAAGGAACTGGATAAGGAGTTGCGGATCTTAACTTTTTGGGAACGATAATTAAGGAAGTTTTTGATGATGCTGATGAGGTAAGGTGGGAGATTTAGAAGGAAAAGTTTATAAAGGAGACCCCGATGACAGACAGAGTCGAACGCCTTGGACACGTCAATGAACAAAGCGATCGAGTGGCCATCCTCGAGGTGAGAGGTCTGGAAGTTGGAATCGAGGATAGTAAGGGGAAGCATAGTGGACTTTCCAGCTCTGAAACCGAACAGGTAGGCGGGGATGGAATTATCTAGGTGGGAGAGGATTTTATTTTTAATGAGGGATTCGAAGGATTTGCCGATGGCGGGGATGTGTGTTATTGAACGGTAACCGGAAGGGAGAGAAAGGTCACTATCACTTTTGTGGTGTTTCCTAATATCAATGGAAAATATACATGTTTTAAATAAATTTAAGAAAACCAGGAAAGATAATATTTAAATTATAGAACTGTTACTTATTTTTTCATTATTAAAGAAAATACTTAAAACTTTTATGTACTCACAACGTAACATATATAAGTAATTAATTAAGTAGTGGCTAGAACTGATGTAATTTACAGAATAAACATGATAAATGCAAATAGAGAAATAAACATACATCTTGAAAACTACTCTAAGTAATTCGCTTGTCGCATGTCGCATGCGAGTCATTCAAGAAAATAATTTATAATGTAATGAAAATAATATACTTTAATATAATAGAAAACAACTGAATTCTTAATTAGTTAAGAGTAATTACAAATAATTTAATACTTTGAAAATTTCCTTTTCTTATAATCAATATTATTCCATTAATTATTAATTCCATTTGTATATTCATTAATAGAAAAGTATTGAATATTCAATAAGTTGTAATAAAATTGTTCGGAAAATCGAAGCGTTATTTATGTATATAAAGAATTAATATGTACATTAATGCAGTTATGGAAAATGTGTTTTGTTGCTAAATTGTTAAAATTTTTCTTCAGAAAACCACTTGTTTGCTTTTGTTTTCACAAAATTAGTTGCCTTGCTTCGATTAGTCCGGATTTATTTATAAATAAACTAATTTTTAATTAAACAAAATAAAAAATATATGTGCAAACAATTATTTTTTTCTTTTTGTGAAACTAAATCCTCAATTAGTCCGGTATTAATTAGTCCCGCATTAGGCGTTGCTGTATTTATAATATTAAAATTGATTGTAAATATATATAATTTTTGTCAATCTTTTAAACGATTTTACAAAGAAACTTATGTAAGATAAGTTGATATTATTTTTATTTAATATAGTTTAAAAATAATACTTAATAATTGTCTTAACTCAATTATTATACTTTTACTTGAATTTATTAAAATTATATAGAATATATCGAGGATTTTATTAATATAAATACAAATTTATATTTGTCCAGTGAATTTAAGTGTGATTTTTCAATAGTTGCAGAGATAAAATCAATTTTAAAGGTTACAAATTATCTTCGACGTAAATCAAACATGCAAATAGTGCATACATGTATGGATGAAACATGTAAGCGTTTATATTTATACATACTTTTTTTTACAGCAATCAATTTTGTTCACACGAAATGACAGACATTTTGCATGTAAAGTCGGGCTCGTTTGCTGCGTAGGGAGTAAACCGCTCGTCATTTTTTTTTATTTCTCTCCAATTTAGAAACTCCCACGTTACATCAAAACCAACAAATCTACATGAACCATGAAAATAATGTCATTACGTTCATGTAAATCAAATACGTATTGGAATTCAGCTGCGATATTTATTTATTCGTTTTTTTATTTCCAAGAAAGTTTTTCGTTGGGGATGAGAGAAATTGAATTCCATTGTGTTTTATGGGAAATTTTGCGTGGACGCAGATAAGCAGAAAACTTTGGTCCACAATGGAATGATGCACGTGGAAAATCAATCTGGCACGAGCTGAGAAGCGCATGAAAATTTCCTCTTTCTCTCCTAGAGTAAGTTTTCAAGAATCAGATATAAATCTAACGTTCCATATTACTTTTCTGCAACTGGTTTTCCATAAATAAGCTTGATTTAAATAGACTTTGTAATCTTTATTAACGCGTTATTTTATACGCACAGTTTCTAATAGTTTTGCAAGTATATCTTAAATTACTCGCAAAACTATTAGAAACTGAATTTAACCCTCGCATTTTCATATTAATGCAATTAACTAACTAACTTTGACTTAGTTAAACTTTGGGAATTAAATCAAATTGACATTTTATGTATTTTATCTCGATTTTCATATGTCAAAGGATACAAAATTTAAATTAACGTCATAAAAATTTACTTATTTTAAGAAAAAGTTAATTATTATATTGATATTAATTAATTGATTCTAAAAAATAACATCAATATTCATTCATGCAAGAACATTTCTTTACAACCAAATATTTGTAAAATAAGAAAAAAAACGTGAATTTCTCGGATAAATTTATTAATATAATACAGATTATTGCGGACAAAATCCATTAGATTTTTATTAAAAATGTACTAATTTACAAATTATGCCATTTTTTTAAATTTCTCTATAATCCTTTCAAACTATTTGTTTTATAAATGAATATTTCGTTGAGACTTTGGTATTTTATTTATGAGAAAGGTTGAATAAAGTGAAAATATTTCATCGAATTGAAATTTTTACACATTCCTATCCTTTGCACTGCGAACGTAATATTAAATTCTGTCGATAGTACTTTGAATGGAATATATTCATAGGAATCCTAAATCAACACACGAGCATCTATACTCGACCGTTTTACTACATATTTTGAAGTAGTATTTATTTTTGTCAAGAAATATTTTTCCAGATTACTAAATTTAAATATTGCTACGATCTACTTCCACCAACTTGTTCTAATATATATTTCATATTTTATTGTATTATTAAATGTGTTTCCTATAATTTCACTAAATTTTTAACTATATTACTTTATTCGTGAATGTTTCCTTTTACATTTCCATTTATTTTATTCAAAGAAGTTTCTACTAGATAACAATATTTATTTATTGCTTCAATTTCTTGTTCTCATCCTATCATCATTCTGGTAACATCCTTTTGACATCCTGTTATTACTTTGTTGTCAACTTGTCGTCATCTTGTTTTCATTATGATGACATCTTGTTGCTATCCTGTTGTCATCCTATTATTATCCAGTTATCATCCTGTTGTCTTAGTGTTCTCATCCTGTTTTCATCCAGTTTTCATCCAGTTTTCATTCTATCCTGTTGTTATTCTGTTGTCATTCTGTTGTCATTCTGTTGTCATTCTGTTGTCATTCTGTTGTCATTCTGTTGTCATTCTGTTGTCATTCTGTTGTCATTCTGTTGTCATTCTGTTGTCGTTCTGTTGTCATTCTGTTGTCATCCTGTTCTCATGCTGTTGTCTTCCTGTTCTCATCATGTTGGCATCTTATTGTCTTCCTGTTCTCATCCTGTTGGCATCTTTTTTTTCATTTTGTTTAATTATTTCTCACAGTTTTACAAATTTTTACTTACATTTTATTCTGTTATCCTTGAATTTGTTATTATTACATTAAGTTCTCTTCTATTTAATATTATTTCATGAATTTATATATTTTTCTTTATATTTACTTATTTTGCAAATTTTCTACTATTTAATGATATTGTTTGTTTTATTGTTTTTATACAACTTTTTATTATATTTTTATTCTAATTGTAACTATTATTTATATTTCATTTTTAATTATATTTCCTAATATGTATTCAATTTTGTGTGTAAAAGGTGAAACTCAACAATCCAAATATTAACTAAGATAAACCTATTATAAATATATGGAAAGCTCTAAGATTAAAAATGTATCTTCTTTGTGTGTTCGTAGGTTGTGAAGATGTTCATTTTCATCGTTTTCGTCTTCGGAATCTGCTGGCTACCTTACCACGCGTACTTCATCTACACACATTTCGATCGCAAAGTCCTCTACAGCAAATACGTGCAGCACGTCTACTTGGCATTCTATTGGTTCGCCATGGCTAACGCAATGGTCAATCCATTGATTTATTACTGGATGAACACAAGGTGAGTACAGCAAACTCGTTTAAAACTTTGCTGCTCGGAATCCGTTGACAAGAATACTAAATCACATCCTTCCCATCAAACGGCGACAAAGAGAATATTTAATAACGTTGTTGTCTAGTCTTAAGTGATAAACGATGCTCGTATCCATTTTAGTCATCTAATTAAGTAGCGCCATCTATAAATATTGCTGATATTATTACTTTCTCGCAGATTTCGCAGGTATTTCCGAAGGGCCATATGCTGCTGGAGGATACTTATAGATCGCAACTGGCAAGATTCGATGGACAGTCCTACAAACAACGGACAATCCTTCATGAAATCAGGTAAAAAAAAATCTTACTAATTTAATTCATCTAAATCGCTTGAGGGTTTATGTCACGAGATAACATTGCAAAACATGTTACAATGAGTGTGCTTAAAGTGCATGACATACAATTGCCCTTTGAGATAAACAGAGACTTCCTGCACGATTCGAATCTCCCGGTATATCATTTCCGTTTCCGCATTGTTTCCATCCCTTTGTACTCTAAATAACGCAGTTATTGTAGTCCTGCATCAGCTATAATAACAATTTTTCATTTACAAGATGCAAATTGAGAGTATTCTGTTGGAAACAGTTTGCTTTAAGACTTTTGATAACGTAATCTAAATATTGCATAAATCTAGGAAATATGATGTACACAATTCGCAACGTGAACATTCTATATGTGTCAATGTCGTTTCGATAAGAGATAACGCTTCTTGAAAAAGTATAACATCGGGGGAAATCGGCGTTCACTAAAACTTTAAGAATTGCTGGTTGCTTTCTAAGCAACGGTTTTTTTTTTAAACTGTCGTAAATTGTTACGTAAATGTGTCAAGGATTGTTTCGCTGAAAATGCATTTTAATATTGATCCTGAGTAATCAATTTGTATTGCAGCATTAAACATATTCATTTTCAATGATTCCAAAAAATTAAACGTTGTAAAATTTTCCAGTCTTTTTCAATATTCTATAATAAGTCATAATAACTTATCTTACCTGTCTGCAAAATTAGAACTATATGTTTAAACTTGATATTCATTGTTTTATAAACGTAGACTTATAAACTTAACCTAACTTTTTTTAATAATTGTGGATTTACAGTTTTTTTTGGTCTAAGATATGAGCTCATCATCTTCGTATCGATTTTCTTTCTTGTCGTAAATACTTTTTTGTGATATAAGTGTGCATAGTCATCTAACCTCATTTGTTCTAAACTAACTTAACGTAATTCAATTTAAACTAACCTAACCTCATCTGTCCTCAACTAACTTAACCTAACTTAATTCAATTGGAGCTCATTTAACCTAACCTCACAAACCTTAACTCAACCTAGCAATAACCGAATTTAATCTAAGTTCTAATATAACCTAACTTAATGCAATTTAAGTTTCTGTAACCTTATTTGACAATTTAACCAAAATCATTTTTTTTACTTTATACAGTAATATAATATTTTGTGCTGTTAATTTTAAAGTACTCGAATAGTCCTGTTTTAAATAGTCCAGGATATTGACGGGTCCGATTACCGGTACTATCCGAGGTATTGCTGCATACTGCATACTAAATTTAACCAAAGCTGACAACATTCAGAAAATTTAAGCTAACACCAACATAATCTAATTTTGTCCAAACCATTCTTAAAAATATATCATATATGTTATTTCTTTTATTAAAATCGATAAATAAAGTATACTAATTATAAAATTATTACTATTGTATATGATCTTTATTTGGTTCAACTTTTAAAAATATATCCAATTTCGCAAAGGTCAAGTTTTCCCATTTTTTCGTGTCAAATAAAAAATTATCTCAGTTACATAATACCTTTCAGGAATACAAAAAAATAGATTTTGCTGCACTGGTAGAAATGAGATACTTATATTAGTTCCCAGTTAAAATATAATGTGTAATTGGATTTCGGAGCGTGAATTACACCTTGCGCTTGCTCTTGACAGAAGTGGAGAATGAAACTGAGATTGCGAAGATAGAGAGAGAGAACAAAAAAAAACTAGCTGTGTGAAAAAGAATGAACTCATTTCGTTGTGTTCATTGAATCTGAAGATATGTTATATCTTTTAATTAAATTATGTGATCACAGGGCTCAGTCGCAGGAGCACAAGGGGAGGCACGGAGCGTATGAATACCCTTTCGACGAGGATTTATTTTGATAGGCAACATCAGCAAAAGCAGCAGTCTTCGCAACAGCAGAAAGACGAGCAACAGGACAGGCGGAAAGCTGACGAAGGGACGATCGTATCCAACGGATCGATGCGGAAACAAAGGCATTCCGTTGCAGCTACAGAACTATAATAGATGATTTAAGATAAGTAGATGATGTTAATTGAAGATGGAGAGAGAATGAATGGAAATGGTATTTATATGATAGTAGATACACAAAGGTTTAAGTGTGTTAGCTCATTTAAGAGTTTATCCGCAAGGTTAAAGATTTCAGTCTGAATTTAAGCTTAATCTATGTATTTTTCATCATTACTTAATTAGTTCAAACGATCTGTATCAAGAGTAAAAGGCACCTTAGTTATAAAAAAAAGTTTATATATTTGCTATATAAATCAATTTCAATAACATAAAGAAAATAGTAAATTTTGAACATAATTGGCTTAAATAGAGATTTGTACCTCAAATAAAAGAAATAACTTCTTATAAACCAACAGTTGGCTGAATGCCATTTTTTTTTTATTTTTATACAATTGGCTTCATAAAGTTCATAAATTGGGACTTATGTCTACAATGAAAGAATTATTGAATCTAGAATCAACATGATAAAAAAATGATGTAAAAAAAATAATAATATTTCAATTATATAAACGAAGACTTGTATCTTCAATAAATTTTTCAGTGTAATGAAAAAAATGAAATGAATGAAATAATTTTACTTTCAATAAAAAATGAGTAAATAACAGAATAATAAAAAATTGACTACATAAACTATATAAACTGACTGACACCTATTTCTTCAATTTAAAAAAAATCTAATGTCCAAAAATATTGAAAAATTTATGATATGGACATATTTTATTTACATGAAAACTAAAGTTAATTAACCTGCTGGTAAACTGTTAAATTGATATACCACTTAAGCTATGTTAGTTTCTGTGAATTTTGTGATATATTCATACGAGTTTATTGCTGTTGAACGAACAGTGCAAATTGTATTTATTTATTTATTTATTTATTTATTCAGCTGCGTGGCTATTTCGTTTGTGATGTACGCGTGCAGAAGAGAAATGAATTTATTAATAAAAACATATAAGTTGTTATTTTATGTCCGAATAATAATGTACAATACACGTTTTGGGTTTATTTTAAATATTTGAATTATTCGTGCTTTTCCCCAGTTTGTTTTTCAGCAAAATATATCCATATCCAGTTTGAAATTAATATAGTTTTAGTTGAAATTTATTTATAAATATTTCAACTATTCAATTCGATTTGATTCTATGCAGGTTCATCAAATGTTTGCTATATAACAATTGAAAGTATATGGACTTTGGTTCTAAATGGATCAATAGAAAATGTTATACAATTAATATTTGTTTCGATTCTTAACTTTAGCCATAATTTATCAGTTTACTTCGAACTAATTGAATTATATTCAATATATACAATATATATTATAAATCCATATAATATCTTTAATACATATAATACATTTAATACATTTAACTATTATTTTAACATATTTTTTTGTAAATTTGTTCTGATTTTTGCTTTATGAAAAAAAAAACCTAAAAAATAAAAATAATATAACATAAAGTTTTACAATTTTAGTTTACAAAGTAATTATTACTTGTTTTTGTAGTTAATTCTGCATTTATGTATTAGCAATAAATTTAAATTTAATTGACAACTATTTTAAATTTAATTTCATGTTATGTAAATCAATTATTTAAATAACAACAAGTATCTCTGAAAGTTCATGATTTTTAATAATTTAAATGCCAAGTCTATCTTTTTTAAATAATTTTCTTGAGTTGACAATTTCCATTTCAATAAATTATAAGCAATGATTCATTAGAACTAATGAATATTATGTAACATATTTATTGGCCAGAATTATGTTTTAACTTTTATTGGTATCAATTTCTATATGTAAAAAGACAGGTTAGTTAATTAAAAAAATATCCAAACCTATATTTTATAAACAAATATCGAAAGATTACAATCATATCTTACTATTTATAATCAATGTCTTTCATCTGATAACAAACCTTTGTTCTTTTATACAGTCTCGTTTTATGCTGTTTATTTTTCCAGTATTAAAGTCCTCGATTAGTCCGTTTTCAAACAGTTCAGGATGCCTAAAACTTAACGTAATTTAACTTCCAACTATAATCAATATCTTGCATCTGATAACAAAACTTCGTTATAACAAAATTTACAATTTCAAGCAAAATGTGGAGAGTTCTAATAGAAGAAGAAAATATCATCCAAGAAATTAGAAAGGAATTTACCCAGATGGATTAGTCATAGGTTTCGAAAATGTCGATGAAGAGGATGTTAGAAATTTATTGAATGCAGAAGATGAAGATGAAATTAAAGAAGTTCCTGTCTATTAAGACATTGAAAAGTTTCACTATACGAAGTAATTTCGTTTAATGCTTCTTATTCGTTAATCGATGTATGACTGCATATTTAAATAATTTATTTCACAGTTACTTTTTCAAATTACTTAGTAATTATTGTGTATACATTTTTATAACAAATTATATAATGATTCGGTGGCAATCAAAATACCGACAACCAAAATCTCGACAATCGAAATCCCCATAACCATAATTTCGACTGTATCAAAATCCCGACTATATAAATATCCTGATTGTATAAAAATCCTGACTTTATCAAAATCCCGACAACCATAATCCCGACTGTATCAAAATCTCGACTATGACAAAATACCAACTGTATCAGAATCCGTTTGTATCCAAATTCGTACTGTATCAAAAACCCGACTATATCAAAATCTCGATTGTATCAAAAACCCAAAAGTATCTTTTATTATTAAAATTTCTACAATAACATTTTTAAATTATTCCGGAGAGTAGTCACCATCTACTACGTTTTTACAACTTGAAATGATACTGTTGGGATTATGGTTGTCGGGATTTTGAATGTCAGGAGTTTGATTGACGAGCAAACTATATAGACTTTCCGCCCTATATTACATAGAGATTTAGTTCTGCAGATTCATAGATTGTTCAAGTTTAAAGCAAAATTGATTATTTGTTAATTTATGCGAATTATATAGTAAATTATGATTGTAAGTATGAATTGATTTGTAGAAATGTAATAATTCCACAATAAGTTGAATGGATTTTTATCATCTTGAGATTACGATGACCACATCGAATCTGCAGATAAGGAAATTGCGTTAATAACATAAAAGAGTTTGTAAATTTGACCTTGTTAACAATAATATAACAATCGTCATCAAAGTTTCGCACAGCTCATCCGAAAAAGCCGGATTCTCCGCATAAAACAAATTCGTCGAAACTCATTCGGATTTTGGTAGATCGAAGACCAGGAACGTTGAACTTGTAACAGTGTGTATATATGTATACAGTTTTTTTCGTTAAACCGCAGGTTCTCGTTACTTCCCGTCTGGATTTCAGTACATGCACGTACACATTTACACATATATTTTTTTTTCGTTTATCACGAATTCCGATTTTCTCGTGAAACCCACACCAGCCGTCCATTCAGTCCCCTTCTTTGTGGTTTTCCGATTATAAATGAATTTGAAAACGGCGGGACCGGTTAGATGATCGCATCACTCTCGGCGACAAATCAATTGGATTCGTGCACACGATCGTAACAGACGTTCTTCATAATTTATAAGTAGAAAGATGTTCGTCAAGGAGTGTTTTGTAGTCCTGGTGATCTGCGGTGCGGTCCTGGCCCAGAGAACGAGCCACAGGAAACCTGGAGATTGTCCACCGCCTGTCGGGTCCGGTATTTGTGCCTACACCTGTTCCACTGATAGTCAATGCGATGGAGCGACCAAATGCTGCAGGACTGCATGTGGAGGAACCATCTGCACGATGCCTGTCACAGCCAGACAACCCAAACTATTATCCGGTGAGTACAAGTTTATATCTTTATACATATTCCAACAAATCAAAGCTTAAACTTATTAGTAAATTCTTAACTTACTTAATCTTTAGTCAGTATGTGTATTTGCACTTCTAACACACAACAACAATCAATAAAAATGTTACAAATATTTTTTCTGCAGTACATAAAAACTATTATTATTATTTTGAATTAATTAATTTTGTCCAAACAAATTAAAACTTAAACCTATAGGTAATTCCGTAATATTCACTTGTAATAGTCAATAATATTTAATTGAAACCGTTTTATAAAATATTGATTTAAAAAAATTTAAAAATCTATTGATTTTTCTGTAGAAATTTCTATCCAAATATTCTTGGACAGCTATATTTAAACAAAAACATTCTTAAAGTATAAAATAATTCTTATACATTTACACTTAATTTTTCTGCCCTCAGTATATACATTTTTCAACTTTTCGAAAATATGAACATATTATGAGCCATTTTTTTAGCATGAATTAATTTTATTTCATTAAATTAAAGCATAAACCTTCTTGTAACTTCTCAATTATATTTAATTTATGTTTTTTGAGAATATAAACTAAATATGAAATGGATATTTAGTAATATTTTGAATTATCTGATCTTTCAGTTCCAAGTTAATTTTAAACTTATTTGTTATTTTTATCTAATTATATATAATAATGTTTGTAGTTGATATACATCATAATAATTAACAAATAAAGAATATATTTTCTTTTTTAGATCATTTATTGAAAATATAGTAGAAAACTTTAATAATTTATTGTATACATTTTACATTGATAATAGACAACAAATTATTAATTGAAACTCTTTGAGTTTTGAACATTAACACGAAAAATCGAAATGATTATAAATATAATTGGTCGTTAATTGAAAATACATGCGATATAATATAAAGTGTCTTAATTGAACAAAAATCATATTTTTATTTCTATTATAATCATTTTAAGCTCCAAAACTTTTTTTGTACTTTAGCAAAATAAAGACTTACAAGTGTTCAGTATTTTCATAGCAAAATACATTATTTGTTTTATTTTTTTAGTGAAATTATAATATTTAAAAAAAATACAGCAATCTATTTTCACAAAATAATAATATAAAAATAATAGTTATCCCAAATGTTTTACATGGTTTATCTCTAATACCATTATACGTGGAGACCATAAAATAAGTTTGTTTGATTTCATTCAAGGTTAAAACACGTGTAACGGATAACATTTTTCATTATCAAAATATTTTGTTAAATTATTAAAAAAAAATCAATAGAAAGCAGTATGAGATCTTTGTTTTTTTATTCATGAAGATTTGAAGTGGTACAACTTGATTATTGGATGTCAATAACAAATATGAAGAAATTCCACTATTTCCTTTGACTGTGAATCTGCTGCTATCTTTAACACTGTCATTGTCCATCGACTTGGCTGAAAAGGTCCATATGCTGAACCTTATTTATTTGACTGTCCATCTGTGATGAACGATGGTCCTATTACTGCAAGCACTAAGAGGGCTCACAAAGGGCCTGGCTTGACCAGAATTCGAACCGGCAATAAGTCGCGCCTTCATATTTTGTCAGTGAATTATTCTCAAATCTTCCAGTTTTCATAATTTGCAAATATATATTCATCACGGTTTACTTCACAAATTTTTGTATTTAGCACTATTGGTTTGGAAATATTGCACACTTATTCTAATATTTTAAAGAAACGTTACTGAATTTTTATAACAACATGACAAGTAAAATTTTTATATTTTAAAAATGACAATTAATTTAACACTTTCTCTCAACTTTAAAGCGTAAACCTATTATATAAACTTAATTCAATTAAGTTGAGAAGTGTGCAGACATTTATACATGTAAATCGAATTTAGAGCCAACTATCATAGCCTTTTTATCCGAGTCGCCTTTTCACGCGAAAGTTTCTTACGAAAACCCTAAAGCGCCAAGTTTATTAACTTATTCGAGGTTGAGCCCCCAAAGGACACGGCACATTCTCTGCAAATTTATCGAAAGTTGCTGTAATCCAAATTAGAGACTCGCAGCAGATTGCCAATTTCTTGACTTCTTGTCCACAAATCTTGTTTTATTATATACCTCTACTATAGTTATATATTTCACCATTTGATTCTATTATATAAGTGTTTTTTTTATTAATAATAATTGAACAACTTTTAATTAATTTGATTCATTAACATTACAACATTCATATGGAAAAAATATAATGAATTCTTACATTATGTTTCTTAAAAACACAATGTTCCGTTTGTCTGTTCAAGAAACGGTACAAATTTCAAAAGATATTAAAAATGTAAGATTAAATAAAAATTACTAATAAATAATAATATTATTATTAGATACTGCACATTTCATTATTATCAAAGAGACTCAAAGAAACAAAAATATGACAAAAATAATAGTTTTATGACATTTTTATGAAAATTGTTTAATTTTCTACAATTTCCCTTTAAAATTATATTTTACAAATAAACAAATTACTATAGCACTACAGAATTATCAATAGAAACTGTAATAACTTCAATAGAAAATAAATGAAAACATAATAAAATTGTAACATTTCTTTTATGACACTCAAAACAACAATTTACTGAGAGTAAGCTTTTGTTTTTCATGAAATATTTTCTTTGATTTTCATGTATTGAATAAGAGAGAGTTTTCGAGTAAATCGTGCGCAGTTCTATAATGCTGCCTGCCAGCAGAAATTGCTTTCCCCACAAGTGTGAACTCGAATGAAACTCTCTCTTTAGAATCGAGCAATTGTGTGTATGTACTTATGTAAATAGGGAATAGGGAAAACACAATTGCAAGGGAGAGGGTGTAGAGATGAAAATGTTGCTTGTATATTGAAGAAAAGACATGAATATAAGAGGAACAATTTATTATTTGTTTTTGAGTAAATTTGAAACATTTTTTTAAATTTTTATTTTCATTTAAATTAAACTCATAAATATTGTAATTTATGGAGATGTGGAAATATTTTTAATTGTATATAAATTTATTTTTCTATTTTATTTTCCACTTTTTTTTTCGTGATTTTTCTTGAATAATTACTTACTTTTCTATAAAAAAAAAAGTTTCTTTCCTTACTTTTGTATACAACTTACACAATGGACAAACATCTTAACGTTTGTTTTATTCTCAATTTATTATTTAAATTGAAACTAAACATAAATACATATTAAAATATTCTAATTACGATTTAATTTTATTTTTACGGATTCAATTATGTTAATTGTATTTTCCATCGAAATGCTTAATAACATTTCGCGTTATTAATATTAATCTGTAGAAGATTTGTTATTTAAATGCAATGGAAATGATTCAATATAAATGCAAACTGTGTAATCAAATAATTAATACATTTTCATCATTAACCTTTTTCAAATTTCCACAATTCTTAATTACTTTTTTTATAGACTTTGAATACAACTTAAACATACTAAATTTTTAATAAATTTCCATATTTTTTACTTTTTTTCATAGACTTTCAATACAACTTATATATTAGACATATACAATTTCTTAATTATCTAAATTACTAAGAACTTTACATATTTATTCCTATATTCAATGAAAAAAATTCTAAATTTTCATACATTCAATAATTTAACAAAATAATATTATGAATTGAAAAGTGCGAATTGATACTAGTGAAATATATATTTAGAATTAGCATCAATCATTAAAAACTTATTAAATTTGTTTAAACATAAAAATAAGTCCAAGAAATGTATTCAACTTACGTTTATTCTCAATTTATTATTTAAATTAATACACATTTTCTAACTTTTTGATAATTTTCCATATTTTGTTACTATATTAATAGACTTTCAATACAACGTAGTTACTAGAAACATACATTTTCTTAACTATCTAAATTACTAAGAAATTTACACATTTCTTCTTATATTCAATAAACATATTACAAATTCTCGTACATTCAATTAAATTACAAAAAATATTTTAAATTAAAAAGTTCGAATTGATACTAGTGAAATATATATTTAGAATTAGTTTTAATCATTAAAAACTTATTAATTTTGTTTAAACATAATTTACAAAAAAAATCCAATTATTCTGAACTTTATTAAACATTACAATAAAGAAATTGTATTCTTTTGATTATGAAGTCAATATAATTTTCTTAGAAACTAAATTTATCTTTTATATTATAAAACAAAATTATGTTTTTCATTTCCATTGTTAACTTCTTTCTGAAGCAATTATAACACAATCTTTATTATACTGTTATAACTTGTAAAGAAAACTGTTGAATTTTCCATCTACAAGAAAAGAATAAAGCCAAGAAATTTAATTAGCGTACATTTATTCTCAATTTATTATTTAAATTGAAACTAAACATAATTACATATTAAAATATTCTAATTATAATTTAATGTTATTATTACGGATTCAATTACGTTAATTGTATTTTCCATCAAAATGTTTAATAACATTTCGCGTTATTAATATTAATCCGTAGAAGATTTATTATTTAAATGCAATGGAAATGATTCAACATAAATGCAAACAGTTTAATCAACTAATTAATACATTTTAGTCATTAATTTTTTTCAAATTTCTACAATTATTAATTACTTCTTTTATAGACTTTGAATACAACTTAAAAATTATACACATATAATAAATTTTTAATAATTTTCCATATTTTTTTACTTTTTTTAATAGACTTTCAGTACAACTTAGATATTAGACATATACATTTTTTTAATTATCTAAATTACTAAGAAATTTACACATTTCTTCCTATATTCAATGAAAAAAAATACAAATTTTCACACATTCAATTATTTAACAAAAAAATATTATCAATTAAAAGGTGCGAATTGATACTAATGAAATATTTATTTAGAATTGGCTTCAATCATTAAAAACTTATTAAATTTGTTTAAACATAATTTACAAAAAAAAAATCCAATTATTCCTAACTTTATGAAACTGTACAATGAATAAAGTCATTGTATTTTTTTAATTATATATGAAGTCAAATTGAATTTCTTGGAAACTAAATTTAACTCACATTTTACCTGAAAAAAACTTTATAAAACAGAATTATGTTTTTTTATTTCCATTGTTAACTTCTTTCTGAAGCAATTATAGCACAATCATTATTACACTGTTATAACTTGTAAAGAAAACTGTTGAATTTTCCATCTACAAGAAAAAAATAAAGCCAAGAAATTGAATTAACTTACATTTATTCTCAATTTATTATTTAAATTGAAACTAAACATAAATACATATTAAAATATTCTAATTACGATTTAATTTTATTATTTCGGATTCAATTATGTTAAATGTATTTTCCATCGAAATGTTTAATAAAATTTCGCGTTATTAATATTAATCCGTAGAAGATTTGTTATTTAAATGCAATGGAAATTATTCAATATAAATGCAAACTGTTTGGACGGAAAACAATGAATACAAATGGAAACCAAAACGAAAAAGTAATAGTGAGTAATAATTATTGAAATTTAATTATCGTAAATGCGTAGCGTCTATTGTGATTCATGGATTTCAATGATATTCGGTTTCAGATGATTAAATAATGGATTTGTATCCAGCGGATTTTGATTCATTGGATACCGCATTGTATAATTGTTTGTTTTTTCATTGTATAACCAATTTATTTGACTGATGTAAACGTGTAAATGCGTATCCAAATGGGTTTTGACCTCAATTATAACAGTGGTTTAACGCCTCATTAATCACCATTATTTCAAATGGTTCATTAATAATAGCAGAAGTAAATTAAGGATAAATTTAGATTAAATGATCCTTGAAGAAAAACGATTTTTAACCACTTTAGCCGAGACTTTCGGTGATTGTTATGTATAGTAATTGCGGTTGACTGTAGTTGCGTAATGGTAATATATAAATACTAAATATTTGTTTCTATAAATTACGTAAGTTTAATGATGCCTCGTTCTTTGGAGCTTTATTATAGAATTTAAAACAATTTGTTAAAAATAATTTAGGAGCATAAAATTGAAAATTATAAATGTTTTCGATAACAATTCAACAATAAAAACACGTGTCTTTCAATGGAAATCAATTCTACAAGAAATATATAAAAAGTAATTATAGGTGACTTGTATTATTAATTTAAAAACTGGAAATCCCCGTTTTACTAATTGATTTTAAAATATGAATCCACACAAAGTTACTTTCCAATAAGTAATAATACTTGTTTTCTTTAGAATATATCTATACGTTTTTACCAACCAGAATTAACGTCATCTTAAAGTAAAAAAAATGATCGATGACTTTTGTTAAATTTGGTATTTGATTAATCTCTTGAAATTTCGACTTTATATGTTTAATTTCCAATATTACTTTTCTTTTATTTATTTACTTTTGTATTAATTTATATTTGTAATGAATCATATTATAATTGAAAGTTGTTATATTTATTAGAAATATGACTCAAGTTTGTATGTGTTTGACTTTATATCTAAATTTAATATTGAAAAGAATACTGTTGCTGTTAATAAAAATGAAACAATTAACATAACATTATTAGTTTATAGATATTTCTTTTTTGATCGTAACTTAATTATTGTGAAAACAGCAACATTTAGAAGTTATTTAACAAAGTAATTATTTCTATCAAAATATTAGTTACAATTAAAGCAAATTGTTTTATCAATGTAATTGGTTCAAAATATTCCTGTTCTTTAGAAATATAACTCTACTTAAAGCAAACATTGTATGTGTTTGACTTTATATCTAAATTTAACATTGAAGTTAGAATATTGTTAATTAAAATGAAACAATTGTAATAGCTTAATTATTGTGATACGAGCAAAATTTAGAAGTTATTTAATAAACTAATTAAATCAATCAAAATATTAATTACAATTAAAGTAAATTGTTTTATTAAACATTGATTCAAAATATTCCTGTTTTTCTTATACCCAAAGAAAATTCAAAGAGATATATTTATGAAAGCAGTTACCAAAGTGGAAGGTGCGAAAAAAAAAATACTAGAAATATATATTTTTTTTTAAATTGGTATTTTTGCTATAACCATGAAAAATTTGTAAGACTCTCCTCCGCTCTTCAAATTTGAATCTTGGAGGCAGCTAGATTATTTTTTTTTTAAAGGGGGCGAACTAGCAAAGTTTGAAAACCACTGCTGAAAACTAAAAAATGTGACATAACCTAACTTAATCTAACCTTAAATAACTTTACTAAATACATTTTTTTGTTATCTAATTTGTAGATTTATTAAAACCACTACTATTTATTGATATACCTAAAACAATTAGAATTGATAGTTTCAAAACAAACTTAGGTATTCTGTAGACATATCGAAGTTACTGCTAATTTGGTCGAACATAAAATATGTACGGAACTAAGTAAGATTTTTTTGTAAAACTACTTTAACTAATTTAATCGATTTTCTTTAAGTTTAGATAAGTTTAATTTACAGCATCAATTATTAAATCGTATACATTTTTTGAAAACGTCTGAAACTGACCTGAAACGCATCGCCTTAACATGGATCCAAGAGGCTCAAGGCCGCTAGAATTGGAAGCAATTAAGAGAGACCTATGTTCAGCAATGGACGAAACAGGCTGTTTTATGATGATACACTTTTTTATAGTAAATTATTATTACATATTTGTGGGTAAACGAAGTGCTTGAAACCAGAAAAAATTTAAATAAAAATTGCTGTTTTAATATTTCAATTCATACAATTTATGTACTTAAAGGAATATTAAACAACACAAATTTTTATTTATTAACAAAGCCATTCTCAAAAATTGAAATAATTCAACTACAGTTTTTAATTAATTAAACAAAATACGTTTCTTTGTTGATAATTATTTAAATAATGTAATTAATATTGTTATTTTGTTAATATTATTAGTAACCTTTAAGAAATGTAGAAATACTAAAAATTCTGTTCATCTAATTTTAATATACAAATTTAATTGATTTGAGAGAAAAAAAAGTAACGATTAAATCTGACATTTAAGATATAATCTAATTGGAACTGAGCTTCTTGCAACATAATTAAATGTGAGAGATGCGCGCGTTTTCCTTGCATAATCATTTAAATTGCGAACAGGTTTTCTATGTCAAATCCAATAATTTGCGCACGACCCAGATATTATAAATATATCAGATTCATCGCACAAACTATACAAACTTCATGTTGCAATAATCCTTGTTTTTATTATTTATTTTACAGAGAAGAAAGGATCGTGTCCTGCCCGACCGACGGGTCCTTGGGTATGCTCCAGCAGATGCGCCTTTGATGGTGATTGCAGAGGAAGCAAGAAGTGTTGCAAGAACCGATGCGGCGCAATGGCGTGCACCAAACCAGAATAACCTTAGATTTGGTATAATAATCAGTAATTATCTTATTTAGATTATAAAAATGCAATGTTAAAACGAAATTTATTAATAAGTCAATGAACCAAAAATTACATTTATAACTATTGTAAATTATATGTATTTTAGATTATTAAGTATTCATTAAATAAACGTTTTTTTTTTCTTAATAATTTTTGTTTAAATAAATTACTAATTTTGTTCAATGACCTAAATATTCTCTTTTTTTTTTCATATTAATTACTTCATAAAAGCAATATTTTTAATATACAACACTACCTCGTATAGTGCGGTTTCGATGAGACATGATTCGCTATAATCCGAAAAATAATTTGAAAATTTCGATTTATCCGGATTCAAACAGTCCGGGATATTGTCGAAACCTATTTAGGTATTGTATATATTTATAAAGAATATATCGGATTTATTATGAAGTATTAATTAAATAAATATTATTTTTACGTAATTATTTTGTTCCTTTCAATTAACTGCATGAATGCACAGTTATTTTTTAATTGGTTCACGTTTCATATATATATATCAAAATAAAACTACCATTTAAATCAATCATTTCATTATTTTATGTTATTTACAATGTATTATTAATGAGAAAACTATTTTTTATTATTATAGACTTTTTTTTCATACTTATGGGCAATAATTTTAAATAATACAAATATATTTTATTTTTATTATATATGATTGTTTCAGAAAATATTGTTCCAAATATTTATTTTGTACATAATGTTTTTTGTTTATGTCGTGTAATTTTATTCACAATCTGTTTATCTATGTGAACATTGAGTAAATTTAAGATCGTGGGTGACATTAGATAGGTAATTTTTCCCGGTGGATAGTTACCATTATGATGATTTGATTTTGAATTTGTTGGTTGGTTGTCGTCTTGTAAGTTAACTTCAGTAGTATATTGATGCTCTGCGATTCCACTATTTCCTTTGACTGTGAATCTGCTCCTTAACACTTGGCTGAAGGTCCATATGCTGATCCTCATTCATTTCACTGTTTATCTGTGACAAAATTGGGAAAATTGTATATTCTTTAATGTATATTATCTAATTAAACGAATTGAATAAATCAATCAAAACATTTATATACAAAACAATTGAATTGTTTCCTCTATATACATTTACTTTAAATACACTTGATTTAAATTGAAGCTAATGTTTACTCACAAACTAATCGAAATGAACATTCAATTAATTAGTTTGCGATTCACAAATAATGGAAGGCACTTTCCGATAGTAGCTTTGAATTGTAATACGAATTACAACATTATTCATTAATTCATCTATATGAAACTGTAAGTCAAAAAGTTTGAAATATTTTCACATTTTAGTGTATTAAAACTGTCGTCTAATACAAGGATAAGCAACATATTTTTTCAACAAATTTAATAATTTATCAAAAACACTATAAATACAAATTATTGTAATTTTATGGACTTTTTCTTTTGTAATTTAACAAGTCAAAAAGTTAAAACTTTGCTCATCCCTGGTCTAATAGTTTCATAATAACATTCGGGCGAATGACCGGAGCTTCGCAAAATTTGGGGCCCCCAACAGTGTAAGTTCCCCTTTGCTTTCACATTTTTATCGAATGTTAGAACCCAGCTCTCACAATTTTTTTTAAGTTGCCCTATTATGTCCAACCGTTATTATTACAATTATTATTGTTAATATAGTGTATTAACGAATTAGAGACATCCACGGCATCTCTAGAGTCGCCTTATTATATGAACATATAAATCAGCATAAAGGGAACCTTCAACGTGAGACCGATTGTAACATTCCTTCCTATTTTCAACTTGAAACCGGACGCAGAATAGACAGTTCTCATCGAGACCAACTACTGATAAGAACATCGCTCATATTTTAAACTGGGAACAAGACGCATAATTGGCAAAATCCGTATAGGAGCAGTGACCTGAAGCGGAGCGTCTTATCAAAACCATGCTTTACTCCTCAAACTCCGTAGAATAAGTATTTGTAATTAGTCTTAGGAAGAACGTCAAAGAATCAAGACGTATTGAATATTTTAATAATAAACTGAAAGTCAAACTCTTTCAATTTATTAAGAAGATATTCCACAGTGTCCAGAAATCCATTCCTGGGACACGACACCCCCTATTCATGCATTGGAAGCCCATTTCATATTTTTGCTCGTGGCCTCAAAAATCAAAGGTCAATTAAATTTTATTTTTGTTGCTTGTGTCTTCTTGTTTTTTTTGTCTGTATTTGTTATTAAATAATGTTTTTGTTCATATAATCGAGCTACTTTATTGCATGAACTTGTAACGGCAGAAGTCCAAATGACTCAGAGAAGTTGTTTCGTGCATAAATGTATCCTAATTATGGAAATTTTCAAATTAAATAATGATTTTGTTGGCGTGTAAACATCACCGTTTAACGATAAAACTTGTTTTAATCGGCGATTACGTAAGGATATTCTCCGTATGTGAGTCGCGTTCAGGTCGCCACGTGATTTTGAGCGAAACTGGAAATGTAGCAGGAGCAGCCAGCAAATAGCCGACGGCCTTTGGAAACCCAAGAGCATATAAATGAACGGCCAACATTAACCATCGGTTTATTCGTCCTGCAGATACCGAGCCGACAAAATGAGTAAGACTCCCAACTCCTCGATGAACGTGTATATAAACTAAACTACTTTATTTTGCAGATAAACTGTGGATTTGTTTCGCAATTGTTTGCGTGTTGGTCGCCTCTTCGGAAGCAGCATCACGTAAGTACATGCAAATCCTTTTAAGTTAAACCCCAACTCATACATCTTTTTTTTTCATCCTTCAGAGGATTGTCCACTTGCCAGTAAAATGACCAGTTGCAGTCCGAAATGCAAGGACGATACCGAATGCTTCGGCCGCAGGTGCTGCACAAATATTTGCAATACAAAATCGTGCGCTGCAGAGAACCAACTCGGAGCTAGTGCATCCAGTGGATACAAAGGGAGTGGAGGTATTACTTTTTTCTATTTTCCGCTTTTGCGGATTGATTAATTTTTTGCGGGTGAACTTTTTTTTTCAATTCACTACCGTCCTCTTGATTTATTTACTTTTATTTTCTGTTCAACGCAGGTAGCGCAACCGGAAACTATTGCGGAAACGTGAAATGCAGCGCTTATGAAACATGCAAATTCGATAGCTCCACCAAGAGGCAAAAATGTATGAGGACTTAAACGTAGAAGAGAATCAAAACGTAAACATGTTCTTGTCTAATCGTTTTCGAAAGTTAAGTCGTATATGCATAATTAATGTCTGCTTATCGGGGAAAATAAAGAAGTTTTTGTGATTTCTGTAACATTTAATGATTGGTTGTTTTTTTTATTAATTATAAACTCAATTTTAATGCAATAATAATTAATAATCATTTTATATAATTATAAAATTATAATTCATATATAATCCATGTTTACACAATAAAATTAGATAATCTATAATAACATACACAAAATAAGGATTATCCACAAGTGACATCGTTTAAATAGCCAGAAATTCCTAAATTTCTAGACCCAGCAATTTTCTAGACAACTGAATCAAACAGCTACGTCAACTGAATCAACATCGGATGGTATGGCCTATCAAGATTCATCCATTGACATACTAATTAAAGGATAATTTATCTTTCATTGACATTTCCTGTTAATTATAATAATGAACATGTCTCATGTTCAAAAAGTGGAACAATGCGTGTCCCATCGCCCCTCAAAGATTTAAAGTAATGGATAAATAGTAAGTAATATATAGAATTTATAGTATACATAAAATAATACATACATGTAGAAAGCTGTATACTTTTTCTGACCTAATATCGAATATCGAAATCTTCTCTGTAACATTTTTTTTCAACATATTTTTACAGTTTTACTTTAAACTTTAGTATTTTAATGAATTAGCTTTATTACAGTGGATTTTCGTGGATCATTGAAAATATAATAGTATAAATAAACTAATTTTGTAGTATTTATAAAAATCAAATGAAAGTCTTACTTTTTAACACTTTTTGAAAGAAGAAATTGATGTATATTTTCAACATAAGGAGCTGGAGCTGATCGTCTTTGAACAGATTCATTTTGTTACTTACACTAATCAAAAATATAGTTACTTAATATACATATTTTTAATATATACTAATCTTTTTTATCGCTGTTCACAGTATAAATAAGAGAACTTTTTACTACATGAAATTGATAATTTCATTGCATCAGTTAATAATGTTGTTTAATTACTAATTAAGAATATTCAAGTTGAAAGTAAGTATAATATTGAACACTTTGTTTAAATGTTTGTTTTATGAATGCATGGCAAGGTTTCATTAATGCAATAAAAGTGTGTAATTATATTCCCCATTCAGGTCACACAACTTGGTGAAGGTCAAACTCATATTAATTTAAACAATAATCATTCAATTTACACAATACCTTTTCCTGTTGTTTAAGTATCTGACGAAAATAAGGTTGCTCAATGAGTTTTAAAGAGGATATCGTAAAAAATATTTCCATCCTTTACAATTAACGTCTTGTGCTGTATCACGTAATACGTCTTATGTGTTAAATTATTCTTTAGACAAATTCATCTTAATTGATACTTTTTCGTATATAATTCGTACATAATATTATTATAACAAATCTCACTGCTAACATAAATGCTTTGCTTATTACACTGTTTACTAGTTTTTTTTTTTAATATTTATCAGCCTCAATATTTATTAATAGTTCATATTTCTCTCTAAAAAAACTAGTTTTCTACAAGATTTTAGAATGTTAACTTAAAAAATTATTGAATATTTTGTAAAACCATAACAATATAAAATTTACTCCATATGAAACGAATAACAATAAATTATTATAAAATATTATTTTATTTATCATTTTCTCAGAAAATATGATTTAAAAAAGGAAAAAATATCTACAGATTTATTACTCAAACATGGACCTGTTTTGCATACAAAATTTCCAGATTTTGAAAAAAATACTCATTTCCTAAAACTAACACTAGATTTTCTTCTTCGTCGCTTTTTTCAGTCATTTTCTATTTAATAATTAGGATATAATTTTGATAATATTTGTCTAGATAACTAGTGATCTCATTTTTTGAAGCTAGACGTCTTTGTCCAAGCAAAGTGCTACTAATCCTGTTTGTACTCACTTGTATTCGTGTCTCTTCGGAATGTAATATCTTAGATCTAATTTCAGTTTTCAATTTACAAAACAGAAAATCAAATATATCCTCACTTGTTAATAAATTCGTATCTTGTCGTCCTAAATCCTCTTTTTATCATGGCTTTTAAACTTCATCTCGTTTGCCAGTAAAAATTAACCTTCATTCATTCACAAAGACAATTTTGTGTCCAAATGTTTGCGTTTTTAATAAAATAATGAATGAAAAACCGGTTCTGTAGTTCAAAAAATAAAATTTCTTTAAAAAACCGGTTTAAAAAAAACAACAAACTACTATACAGTTTTCAAATAACTGATGTAAACTTATATTATTCTAATAAATAATAAAATTGGAACGTCTTATTTGAAGTTTTAATTAGATGCTGTGAAAAAATGAATTGTTTTTTTAATATAATTACATTTTTTTTAGCTATTTTTTTTACATATAGACACGGATTTGTAATCTTAATATCTCGAGATTGTGAGAATAAAGCATAATTATATTACGTTTTTAATAAAAGTCACTTTCAAGGATAACAACTAAAAAGTTGTGCTAAAAGAAAACATAAAAATTAGATATTTCCACGAGAGAAAAGATTTTAGTTGAAAATCTATAAAAAAAAAGACAAAAACAATTACTTAAAGTTAAAATAATAAAAAGTTGAGTCTAAATTCAATCCATATTTTTCATAATCATTTTTAGCTTAAAAATTAAAAAAACATAAAGTTAATTTTCTATATAATAGTTTCATAACTCCGTCACATAAAATTGAACTGAATAATTTAAGGACACACATTCGCAATTAAGTTGTACAATACATTTTCGACGATCGTTCTAAAATAGGAATTACGAGTACAGCTATTATAAATAGCTCGATCGATAAGTTCTGAAATCCTGTAAAGTATGTATGAAAAATGATACCGTCATCATTTTTTAACTGCATATTTAATAATACTCGGATCACTCGTAAAATATACGTATTTTCCAATAACACGTACAAATCCTTTGTAAATGCGACAAAATCAAACATCACAGTTCGTTTAAAGCAGAAATGCAATATCGGCATTCCTTTCAGGAGAATTTCATTTCTTTTACTTTTATTGTTGTTTCATATTAGACATTTTACTTAGAAAAAACTATATAAAACAAGAAATTATTTTTAATATGCAAATGACACAATGTAATTTGTTTATAATTATATCATTTTATAACATTAATTTCTTCTTAAAGATAATATTCAGCTGTATTCCTTGATGTGTACAGGCTTTCGACAAAGTTTGGCATACAGGTTTACTCTACAAGCTGAAGCTGCAACTTCCACATAATTTCTATGAAGTGTTGAAATCCTACCTAATTGAGAAAAAGTTTTTTATCAAATTGGAGGAAGCACAAACTGAGCTGAGTCCCATCGAATCTGGCGTTCCGCAAGGTAGTGTCTTAGGATCAATTTTATACTCTGCAGATATACCAACAACAGAGAAAACAAACGTGGCATCAGACGAAAGTCCCATAATTGAATCTCGACATCTTCAAGAAGAGTTTAATCTGCTCGAGATATGGTTCAGAAAATGGCGAATTAGTATAAACCAGTCGAAATCGGTGTTACGTTCACCTTAAAAAGAGACACCTGTCCTCCAATTAAACTCAACAACAAAGTAGTTCCAGCATCTTCAAGGGTGAGATACTTGGGAATGTACCTGGATACGAGATATATAAAACATAGTAGAAATATCCATTATTTTATTTGGTTATTTCTACATAAATGTTAACTGGAAATAATCAAACAGTCAATATATGTAAATTTAATTAACTAAATTAAAATTTGTCAAAAAATTTGGGAACAAATTAGAATAAAAAATAACTAAAATTGAAATGTAGATCTATCAAATTTGTAATTATTATTTTAACGTCAAAATTGCGTCAGTGATATACACCTTTATTTTTTTTTACTTGAATCAATAGATTTATCCTTACTTTTAACCATGTTATACTCTCACCTCTTATACACACTCACTATACTTTTCATCTACTTGAAATCAACGGAAAGCTGGTACCATTTCATAGAGATCTCCAACTGCTCGGATGAGATCAAAGTCGAGGCTCCAGAAGAACCAGAAACAATTCTGGAAATCTACGAGGATAACTCCGAATTGTATAATAATCATTTATCTAATGATTGTTGCCCATTCCAAGCGGTCAAAATCATCAATCCGTGTTACGGTCAATGCAGACGCACCGATGATAGGAAAGTCATACCTATTTGCTTGAAATGCGCAGCGTGTTTAGCAGTTGCAGAAAATGTAAGTCAATCTAATGAGTTATTATTATAGACAGAAGTTATATCCTTGTAAACGTTCTATTGAACTACCTTTCGATATTTTAAACTTTTTATTTTACATTACAAGTACATTTTTAGTAAACTAATTATGAAAATTATTATTATATTTGATTAAAAAAATTGGAATAAAAAATTAAATAATAAAAAAATATCCTGTTATTATTAGTGTTATTAATGTTTTATTCCATAAAAAACTTAAAATATAATACTGTTATCATAAATTTTATAATATATTTTTTATAAGCCTTATTCAACTATTCATTCCTAAACTATTCACTACAATTATTCACTCCTAAATTTATATTAGAATTAAAAGGATATTATGATGCAAACAAACCCATGTATGTATCATAAATATCAAAATTCATATTATTTGATAACATATCATGCCTTATGCAAGTTCTTATGTTTTTTTTTATTTCGTTGAACCCGGTGACTGAAATAGGTAATAATCTGAGAGTGCAAAGCCTGGTGAATTCCGTGGGTGATGTAATAGGAAAAAAATCCTACATAAACCTGGCTTATGGAATGGATTATTCGGTATAATAGTCGTGATGGAAGGGTCTTCTTTTATGTAACAAAAAAAAATGTATAAAATGTAACTTTTCGACTCATGTTTAAGTCACGAGTATCAACAAAACATTTGACCGCATGGATTTTTTCAAATAGTTTTAGTATATTGTTATAATGTATTTAGTCTTTGAAACCTTTTACTCTAATAAATTATCTTAACTAGAATATTATTTTATCAACTTAATTTGTTATTTATATCTGATATAAATGTTGTAAGTTCTTAATTAAAAAACAACGAAAATTACAATCAAATAAATAAAAAAAACAATCAAAAATAGTCATAGTTTTGTAACTATTCATATAAAAATTATCTATTTATTGTATTAATTGTTCTCAAATTAATTTCATATTAATTATTTCCATTGTTAGTCATCAGAACCAACAAAATACATTTGTGTAATGATTTGCTTTTATGTTCAATAATGTTTATTTATGACTTTAATTATATATACAAAAAATATACCATTAAATCAACTTACATATAAGCGGACAGACCTGAAGGTTCTGGGAATAAACCAATAGATGGCGCTATATGTGTGTACCGCTGTCATATTTCAAAAAAGCTATAAATTAACGTAGATGTACAAATATACAAACTGCAACTTAAGTCCCAAACTTTTTCGGTTTGCGTCGCCCTTAATATATCAGAATTTTTTCGCGGCGCCCCAAGTCACAACATCCGTCTATCTTTATGTTTGGGAACCCCTGCTATATATTATAACAGCTGTTTGAAACCGTGCTAATCGAAGCACAATAAATCACTTGACTGTGTAGAAAAAAAATAACAATTGTTTGTATATGATGTTCTTTAATTTTGATCAATTAAAATTTAGTATATTTTCAAACCGTACTATCGTGAATCCGCACTGATCGAAACCACACTATGCGAGGTATTAATATATGTAATCGAACTGATGTCAACACACTTGGAGACCGCATTCAAACGCTTTTAATTTGAATCTGTGTGTTTGGAGATGCAATATACCGGGAAGTCACTCTTAACAAACTTATCTATTTTCCAGAACACGGATACGTTTAATCACATCTTTTATTATATAATTTCTTGTTACTATTTCTTTAGGATTTTATTTTGATCAATTAAAATTTAGTTTGTTTTAAAATTTTCAAACCGTATTATGGCGAATCCGTACTGATCAAAATCACATTATACGAGGTATTAATATTATGTAAACGAACTGAGATTGATGTCAGCACACTTGGAGACTGTATTCAAACGCTCTTAATTTGAATCTGTTGTGTTTGGAGATGCAATATACTAGGAAGTCACACTTATCAAACTTATCTAATTTCCACAGCACGGATACGTTTAATTACATCTTTTGTTATATAATTTCCAGATTCGCCGAGTTTTTGACGAAATTATTGCCAACGGGAATGAAGACTACGAGTTGGAGGAGTCCACAGTGATGAACGCGACGTCGGATCTGTGCTCGAACCATTTCAAAAAGTTGCGTCAATTTCATTAACTTTTAATTGGATCGCATTAATCATGTTTATTTTAGCTACGATTTGAGGGATTACCGAGGATTTGCCATTGTCACTGATGCTTCGTCCGCATTAACTGAGCACGTGAAATCCGCGCTGGACGGCCAATGGAATGCGAAGTTAATAATTTAATCTGCATGTTTCTTTTCGTTTTTTCTATTGTTGTTTTTCCTTTTCTTTCGCTTTTTGTTTTTTCTTTTTGTTGGGGTGCTTTTTTTTTCTTGCAGATTGGGGAAGATGTGCTTGGATTTCACGAGGAATATGAACGCCTTCGATGTGTACAGCCTCTACAAGAGCAATACACTTAATCTCACCGATTTTCTATGCAGGTGATACGAGCGATTACACGCGAAGTATTTATTGCACACTTCGGTATTTTCAGGGGTTCCGGTATTTTCAGGGAATGTTATAACATTCCGTTCGAAACGATAGAGCTGCCAGACGATGATCCATTTTACTCCAAGATTTGGGTCCATTGCAATATATTCACATAATTAAACATAAACGTAAACCATAACAAAACATTTCTTTTCATACATTAATTCTAGCCTTTAACAGTCATCAAAAATGTTAGATCTTCAAAATCTTATAATCTTATGAATAATTAATGAAAACTTGAATTTCTTTTTAAATTTGATAAACATTTCGCAAATTAAGTTTGCTAAAAATCAAATTATAATGAATATTACATTTAATACTAAATCTATCGAAATGTAAGTAAATAATACCATTATTTTTTTTGCATAATACAACACATGAATTTTGAAAAAAAAAGCAGAATATGCAACATATTTAACACTGAAATAACATCAAGTAATAAATAATTCGATTTCCAAATATAAAAGACAGAACGATGTATGTTTCAATAACATGAAATTTAATTGAAATATGATTCGGGTTTCAATTGTAACTCGAGTCACTCGATGGTAATAAATTAAATTTCGGATACAAATAATTAAATGGAAATATGATAATTATTCCCTCCCAAATTTGAATTTTATGAATAATTCAATATAATTGAAATATTTTAATTTTATTGAATATACTGATTGAAATGTAATTTTATAACTTTAATAGAGCAGATAGTTGGTCTATAAGTTCTAAAACGAAATCAAGAGGTTAGTATAATTTGATTATAGTTACTGTTATAGGCTTATATCTTATAAAGCTTATATATATTATAAATAATTAATAAACTTCTTTCTAAAATTTAATAAACTCTTATAAAATTATGTTATAATGAATATTATATTTAATACTAAATCTGTAAAAATGTAAGTAAATAATACAATAAAATGCATTTTTTTTTTACATAATACAACAACCCATCACTTAAAAACAGATTTCCAAATACAAAAATCTCAATAAATCAAAATATATTCAGGAACAAGATGAAAACCAACTAAAAAATATAAAAGAAAAATGTATGTAATTAAGTTAAACACTAGGAATGTCTTCTTCTTTCTTCACCGCCTTCCAACTTTATTTAGCTTACGTCTAAGCGCAATTTCGCCAGCCACTGTTTTGTTGTTATACTTATGAAACTCTAATAAATATAATTACTGCTACTAGCGTATTTTACTGGATGGGATTGGAGAGATTGGTGATCAACAAGTGGCGACAAAGCATAACAAAAAGTAACAATTTTCAAATTTTTGGCTGTCTTGATGATTTAATAATCGCCCAGTATACTACTTTTTCTGTAGTTAATAATTAAACAATTAATAGACGGGGACACTCGCATTCTGTAGCAGCCTATAAAGTTCTTCTGTGGCTAGCAGGTTTTTAACGCATGCAAAGCAGATGTAATCCAGAGTCCTCACCGACTACATCTGTCCGAATCCTGCCACTCGATTCTGACCAAATGCAGTTTTGCATCTCTGTTTTTCTGATGAAACCCAGCCTCTCAAACCACGGCTATCTACTAATTGTCTTGATGAAACCATAGTACGAGTCTCCCTTGTATGATCGTTCCTCCTCAAATCACTCGCATTCTGTAGCAGCCTATAAAGTTCTTCTGTGGCTAGCAGGTTCTTAACGCATGCAAAGCAGATGTGATCCAGAATCCTCACCGACTACATCTGTCCAAATCTTACCACTCGATTCTGACCAAATGCAGTTTTGCATCTCTGATTTTCTGATGAAACCCAGCCTCTAAAAACCACAGCTGTCTACTAATTGTCTTGATGAAACCATAGTACAAGACTTCCTTGTATGATCTTTCCTCCTCAAATCACTCGCATTCTGAAGCAGCCTATAAAGTTCTTCTGTGGCTATCAGGTTCTTAACGCATGCAAAGCAGATGTGATCCAGAATCCTCACCGACTACATCTGTCCAAATCTTGCCACTCGATTCTGACCAAATGCAGTTTTGCATCTCTGATTTTCTGATGAAACCCAGCCTCTCAAACCACGGCTGTCTACTAATTGTCTTGATGAAACCATAGTACGAGTCTCCCTTGTATGATCTTTCCTCCTCAAATCACTCGCATTCTGTAGCAGCCTATAAAGTTCTTCTGTGGCTAGCAGGTTCTTAACGCATGCAAAGCAGATGTGATCCAGAGTCCCCACCGACTACATCTGTCCGAATCTTGCCACTCGATTCTGGCCAAATGCAGTTTTGCAATTTCTGATTTTCTGATAAACCCAGCCCCTCAAACCACGGCTGTCTACTAATTGTCTTGATGAAACCATAGTACGAGACTCCCTTGTATGAGCTTTCCTCCTCAAATCTACTATTTTTAATTAAATCATTGAAAAAAATTGAAACATTTTTGAAAATATATTTCCGCTATCTCTTGGTTACGATTGAGCAGTTTGTGGCTTCATCAGTTTTGGTACGTTTACAATTTAAAGTAAACTTTTATATTTTTAGCATATAAAAGCTGTAGTTTTTATATTTTCTAATAAGTTCTGTTAATGTTTTGGATAATGTGAAATCAAACGATTCATTTTATTTATTCGATTCTTTATTCTGTTCCCTATATACAAATAATAAATATATATTTATCCACTGGAAATAAATTAATAACAAAAAATATATACTATAAGTGTATCATAATAAAATAACATGCATATTATTTAGAGCAGACTTCTTTTTTAAACGAAATTAACAAACGCGAGAAATGAGAAGAAACTTTACAGCTAAATTACTTATGGCAAGTACAAAACTAAAATGCATGCAAACTGATTTTAAGTATATTTATGATTGGATATAATCAGTCAACGAAAGAAAGTAAAACATTATTGGATATAACGTAAAAATAATATAAACATATGATAATTATAGCCCGTTTTGAAAAGAATCGTTGCGCCATTTATTTGTGTCATTATATTCTCTATCTATATATTTATATATTTATTTTGATTTAAATATTTATTGTTCCTCGACTTCTTTGTACTGCTAAGTGGAGAGACCAGGAGAGAATCCGCATCTTACACCTAAATAGAATGTATGTCTTCTTTCAGACGGTGCGCGCTCGCGGCGCCTTCTTCGTAGAGGAATCACAATGTAAAAGGTAACTTCAAAATTTCCAACATATCTTATTATCCTAAATCGCAAATTAATTCGATTTTTTTCTCTAAAAACGTCGTTACCTCGATTTAATGAATAAGAACGCGTGTGCTATTACGACGAAATCTGTTAAATTGTTAGGATATTTAGTTTTAGACGTTGGTGGGCGCTTCCATTCCGCAGATAATGGCTTTCATGACGCTGGCGGCAGCCAAAGAAGCGTACGGCTGCCACTCTTTGCGTCTAGTACCGTCCTTGTAGTCGGAGATGCCTCTGATGCATACGAAACTGTCCTTGCAGTTACCCAAAATCGACTCAATTACTGCGTCATATTCACAGTCGAAGGCTAAAGCTCCGAATTGCGTGGCGAATTGCTGCCTAAGTTGGTCAGCTTTGACAACCTGCCTTCCTGAAGCCACTGGAGATAAATGAATCCTGGGACAACCATCCAATCTATAAAAAGAAACATTAAGTTAGTTTAATGATCTCAAATTTTCATGGCAATCCAACAGTTAAATCTGTACTTAGAGAGACATTGACATCACTATTCATATTCTGTTCTGAAATGTTCTTTATTATGTTTATTCAATAGACACAAAAGCTTTTCAATCAGAAACACTAAAAGAAGTTAGTTCAATATTTTCTTGTAACGTCATTTTGATAAATTTCTTGATGATACTGATTGCTATTATACACGGAAAAACTGATTTTAAAGTAAAATCAATGATGCAAATGAAATATGCATTGTGATATAACAAAAATCTTTCATTATCCTGTAAACTACGCCTGTATTAAAGACCTGGGTGAAATATTCTGTTCATATTTTGTGTTATGTTATGTTTAACTCGCCTTCTATTGTCTCTTTCCTGCGGAACTGGATGAGTAACTTCGATCAAGTCACCATCTCCGATTGACATGTATAGTTTGTCGGTGTCGGTATTGGGCAACTTGAAGTCCTGTTCGTGCAATGAGTTCAAGCCATCCCTCAAGTAATTCAACCACGGCGGCGAAACGGAATTATCCAAGTTGGAAGCCTTCAGCTCTCTGGCAATGCCCTGCAGGTTCAGGTTTTTGGGGCTGTAAGATTTCACCTCAAAATCGAAACCCTTGTCGCTTTTAATTGCGTTATCGCAGTACACGTAAACAGCCCTTAAAACAAATCGATAAATTAAAAGTTTCAAAACATCATAAATCGAATCATTACTTGTCTTTGGTTGGATGCGAAACAACAACGTCGCCCAATCGCACGTGCTTGTTGTAATCGGTGTAATGAGGAACGCCTCCGGCCACGCCCACCAGGAAGACGTAATCGACTTTTTGGAAGGTGCCCAGAAGACGAGTGGTGGTGTTTCCTGCTGCGGTCATTGCCTCTCTGGTATGACCTACAGAAGGTAACTTGGTGCAGACGATCCTGTGAGCTCCGATGTTTCCAAGAGTATACACATTGGATTCCCCTGTAACAGCACACATGATCTGTTAGTAATTGGTTAAAGATTGAGGATTATTTACGATTGTTGTTAATAAGACGATTACACAGAAGCGACACATATATGTGTGTGTTGGTTTTGATGTGTTGATACATTTTGCTGTAAGAGAAGTACGAAGTATATACAAAGGTGAGTCGGTGCAGTGATTACAGGTATGCTCTATTTCCCAGTCTATAAAAACCTTCCAAGCTGTTGTTTCTTACCAAATCTCGCCCTGGAATAACCGCCAATAGGACTCGCTGGACCTAATCAATAATCAATAGCATTTCAATTAAAAAAATATAGCGGACAACGATATACAAGCGATGTACTAGATACGAAACTACACAATTTTAGCTGCATTTATATGTAACAGCAGCTATATCGCCTAGATAAGCACAAAGAAATACATATATAAATTAATTGAAGTAAATTTCTTCAAAGTTGTAGTTAAAATTTGAGTCTACATAAACAAGTTGTGAATACATATCTTCAATATTTTTTGATATTTCAATTCAGAATTATTCTCAAAAAATTTATCAAGAAACGATAAAATAATTTAAATTTCAAATTCATGTGTACATAAAGTAGTCTATACTAACCCAACAACGATCACATCTGACAACTAAAACATAACCTCGAATATTAAAGAACGTGTGTAGCTGTGTACAGCGAAGAATCATCATGTTAACGCCGAGATTCGAATTGACTCAAACAGAGAAAACCCTTTCCATACAAGTCAGAGCTCCCTATTGCAGTTTGGGAGACCTGGATGTGAGTGTCGAAGAAAATGTATTTATATTTGTGTGCAAACCATACTATCTGAGGCTGCACCTCCCTGGCAAAATCGAAGAAAATGATAACTCCCACAGTAAATTCGATGCTGATCTGGGAGTGTTCACATTCACATATGAGAAAGTCACACCGGGTGAGCAATTTGAGGACTTAGAATTCATAACGAAGTTCTTGTGTCCAAAAATTGAGGTGCAAGAAGGCAACAGGAAGATTGAGATTTTAACTTCGGAGGACTGCAATGATGATGCAGTTGTGGTGGAATCTGAGGAAAAGTATGGGTTTGCGCAAAGAGGCGGTTATAATTTCGCCGGTGTGAGTTCAGAATTTTACGATATCTTCAAAGTGGATCCGCACGAAGTGAAACTGGAGGATCGGAGAGGTGTGCGTTTGAAGCAGGAAGCCGAAGACTTCGATTTAGATCATTGCGTTGCGGATTTGATCGATTGCGAGGAAATTAAGGAGATAACCCAAGCAAAATCACCGTACGATGATTTGGATGCTAAATCTGTAAAATTCACCGTTGAAGAATTGGATTTCCTAAAGGATTTGATTAACATTGAGTATAATTTGAGCGAGAATCAAACGAATTACTGTTACACTTCGCTGGTGGAGATTCTGTTTGCGTATTGCTACGACTTTAGGACGACGTTCTTCGAGAAGACTTGCGAGTCAGGTTGGACAATCGCAAAGTTGAGCGCCAGTTTTAGCTATTTCGAAGGATTCAAGAGCGTGAAAGAAGCAGTGATTTGCGGGTACAGACGATCGCTGATATATCCGCTTTACCGAAATATGGATTTGAGCCACAAGGTCTTTGAAGACCTCAAAAAGGTTCTGAGTCTTGGAGAAAAGTTTATACTGAAACTCTTGATGGAGATGTATAAAGTCTTCGTTGGAGGTGATAGCAGTAGATACGTCCTCAACAACCTGTTCGTTAAAGATTACGTGAATTACATCATGAAATGGGATAAGGCTGCTTGGGCTAAAGTCGTAGAAGAAGTCAACGCGATGACGGTGAGCGCTGAAGATCTGAATCTCGAGTTGCCATCAATGTCGGATTGTAATTTAACCTCGATGATGAGCGGTATGACCATTAAAGAAAACGTGTTGGATTCTGACGACGATGAAGACGAATCGTCAAGTGATAGTAGTAGCTGCAGTTGTAGCAGTAGTAGTTCGGAAGAATCCTCCGATGATAGTTCGGACTAATAGTTAAAAAATAATTGAAGAACTTACCGACTGTGGTGTATCTAACGAAAGTTTCCTTGTTTTCGATCATAGCGTCTACGGCTAACTTTTCGCAGTATTGTGCAGTGATGATGGCTATCGTCGGTTGCTTGGAGCTTGCCATCGTAGGCATCTGTTTTACCACGGTGATCTGCGTGTCTTGGGACTGTTGCCTGGTGAACGCGCCATGGTCCATAGCCTTTACCAAACCTCTGCTCTGTAACTCGGCCAAGTGGTGTGCTACCTCTTCCTCATCCCAATTATTATCTCTGTAAAGAATCACCAATAATGTATTATATTTTTTACCAATAAAACAATTACAAAAATAACTCATTGTTTGCTTCAAAATTATACCTTTAAAATGATCAATATACAGAATAATATATAAGCTGACCATTATCTAAAATTACAAAGGTAATCATCATTTTTCAACAAACCATTTTATACTGGTTCTATTGATTTAGACTTAGTGCAGGTACAGACTTTACATAATTTATTCCTCAAGAAAACCATTATTTATCATTGCAAACTTAATAAATACTAAAAATATTTATGTAACAAAAGTTCATCATTATTTCTTCAACATTTTTGAAATCTGGTCTCACAAAACCTAAACATTCTAGTTGTTAAAATAAGAATGTAAAAAAAAATTGATATTAATTCACTATCATATTCAAATTTCATGTTCATAAAGTAAGTCTAAATTATTATTTTTAAATCCAAGTATGTTTTATGCTCCTAAATTTGATTGAATTTACTTATTAAGTGGTATATAACATTGGGTAAAGAGAAGTATATACTTACTTGGCCATATCGTGAGTGGTGATCGGATTGGGGTAAGAGGATTCAATGAGTTCCAAAACTTTCTCAATCGATAGGACGACGACATTGTCCAATGAATTTTCGTCCGCGGAAACTGAAATCAGAACGTTTCTGTGCTAAATTCGAAATGACGAAAGTATCGTAAACCACATGAAAAACACAACAAATAGTAAGAAAAACGATGAACAATAAATTAATTACGAAAATTAAAACAGAAAAAAAAAGGTGTGACGAAATTAGGACAAGAATTAATGCATACACACACACACATACAGCCACACACGATTAATGAGAGGTGAAAATGAATGAATTACGTATTTTGTTCAAAGTTACTCTACTCTCTAGGTTAGTGCTTTCAAACTAATTAATTGAGATGATTTGTGCGCTTCCGCTTTGCCATTGGGGGATTTGGAATGGTCGGGTGTATTAGTATTATTATCAATGATGTTGAATTAGTTCGGTTATTAGTGAAGAGAGCAAGTCTAACCCAAACCTGGAGAGCTTAAAGAAGGGCTTAGTTGTACATGAAGGTAGCCTCGTCGAGCTACAAGAGATTCGAAGGTCAAGAAAAAAAGAAAAATAATAATACAATATAACAGTGTAAATAGATGTGTGTTTGGAGAAGAAGGAACGATTTTCGACTTACGAGGTCTTGTCACTGAAGCCTCCTCGAGCTGCTTAAGCTCTACCTCAAGTTTCCTGATCGTCTTGTACTCGTTTTGCATCAGCTTGATGATTTTCTTGATGAAACCCACGTAATCTGAGGAAATTCAAGTTCAATTTAGAGTCGGTGTAAAAAGAGGATGTAGCAAAAAAGAACCTCGCGGGAATTCCTGCGGGGTGACTAATTCCTTGAAGAAGTCTTGAGCTACAGCAGCCTGCTCCGTGTCGCCGTGTCCGTGTCCATTGGTCGTTCCGTTCATAGCCGATCCATTGGTCATGTGAGCCTTGAACCAGAATCGCAAAGTGCGAGATTCCTGCGTGTGTTTTCCCGTTTGGCCGCTGACCAAGAACACGCGAAACTCCAAGCACAATTGTGGAGGCGTCAGATCCGCGCTTTCTGCAAATATCATCAATGAAGACATTGAAAAGCTGCTGCATAATCAACAATGCTTCTGTTTAATAAAAGCAAAAACAATTACCAGAAGCGTTCTCTTTGTTGATGACGATTCCGGTGTGCTCTCCACCTGCCACGTGCATCTTATCATCCTGCTTCTTCACAGCTCTCCTCTCCACGATCAAAGTTGTGGAATTCGCCGACTTGCATTTTGGAGTCATCACCACCTGCTCGTTCTGCTCCATCGTTTCGGTCATCTCTGCAAATCCAATAAAAAAAACATCAATCAAAAACATAAGATTTAGTCATTTCTACAAATCCAATTGGAAATGTCAAGTTAATTATTAAATTTAAAAGCAGAATGAGCACCAATTAATCTCGACCTTCCGCCGGAACTACTCCTTCTTTCGTTCCGTGACGCAATTACATTCGCGGACGGCGACGTCACTGGATGGAATCATTATAAATAACGGATGACGCAACGGAATCGTCCGTTCTCAATGTCAACGAATGTACTTAGAAGTTGCGCGCAATCGGTTCTTTCTATTTTTTTCTACCATTTTAGGAGCGCGAAGTAAAAGTAAATTTGCGGCTACCGCAGCTCATTCGAATGGCGCAGAACTCATTTATTCTAGAAATATCGTATTCGAACCGTTGCATAATCGTGCTCGTTTGTTCGCAATATTCGAGCCATTGTTAAGGATAGAACAATCCGAATTTACTGTACCAAGACGATTGATACAATCGCAAATCGAATGGTGTTTTCGAGTTTTATTAGATGTTGCTCACATCGTTAGTCACAGTTCTATTCAAGAATTGCATTCACGTCGCAGTATCTTCACGTCAAATCTTAAAATAAAAACTAATTAAAAAATGTTTTGATTAAGACACTTTTCATTATACAAAAATAAGTAACATTTCCATTGTGAAAGTTAATTATTATAAAATGTATCAGAAATATTCTAATAAACTTAACTTATTTATAAAATGCATTCGTCATTAAGTATTCACGTCAATATGTGAATTCATTGGAAAAATCTATAAAAATCGAACATAACAATTAAATTATCTCATAAATATGTGAATTCGTTCTAGAATATTATATAAATTAAGACAAGTCACTTTTCCAACAACTATTACAAAATGTAACAAAAATATTACTTCATATTTTAATTAACGTAAATTTTATTTATAAAAAGAATTGCAATTGCAAAGGAATTAAAATATCGTGATTTCAATTTTTTTTAAATAAATTTAGTTTCTTACAATATCAATTGTGTTATATTACAGATTCAATGAACTTGTAATTGTTTGTTAATTTCACTCAAAATTTGACCTAATAATAAAAAAATAGTTAAAAATAATAAATTAATATATAAAATATTCAAAAAGTTGTATCAAAGAATAGAAATAATTTAAAATATGAAATTGGAATGTAGATAGAAATTTACAATAAATTTTATAGAGAAAATATTTCATAAATTAAATCGTAATACATTGTTTTCATGCAAAATTGAATAAATCAAATTGTTATAGTTCAATGTCATGGAAACCTTTCGTTATATAACATCTGAATCATGTTCATTTGTTATCGTCGGTTTGTTTGTGTGTGAATTTGGAAATCGACTTTACATGCGAATAGCATTGAAAGCAATCAAATATGTGTACAGAAACAATCGAAATGGCAAGGTACAATTAACGTGATTACGAAACGACTCCCAAATATGTTTCACGTTGAACCATGTGAATGTACTTGATTGTGAAAATCAAAGAGTAAATTATCATTTAATTATCGTTGTTGACCACGTCATGCGTTCTAATTGGAACGAATATGATTCATAAATGATATAAATATACTACAAAGTAAAGCAGTTATAAAACTGATAATTTTTCATAACTTTACATTTACCTTTTTAATTGTTCAGAGAATAATTGATATATTGGAATAAATGCATGATTTTCACAACTTTCACAATATATTAACACAAACGTCAGTATCTTTGATGTAACGCAGAAGTAATGCAGATGTCACGCAGATTCTATAGTGACAACTTTGACAAGTAATATTTTTAATATTTTAACACAAAAATCAGTTCCTTTGATGTAATAGTCACGAAAATTATATAGTGACAACTTTGACAAGTAATTTTATTAATATTTTAACACAAACGCAATTACCTTTGATATAATAATCATGCAGATTCAATAGTGACAACTTTAACAAGAAATTTTATTAACAATTTAACACAAATGTCAATACCTGTGATATATTAGTCACGCAGATTATATACTGACAACTTTGAGAAGTATTTTTTTTAATATTTTAATACAAAAATCAGTATCTTTGATATAATACTCATGCAAATTCTATAGTGACAAATTAGACAATTAATTTTCTTAAAATTTTAACATAAAAATCAGTATCTTTGATAAAATAGTCGCTCAAATTCTATAGTGACAACTTTGACAAGTAATTTTATTAATATTTTAACAAACGTCATTACCTTTGATATGATAATCACGCAGATTCTATAGTGACAACTTTAACAAGTAATTTTATTATCATTTTAACACAAACGTCAGTACCTGTGATATAATAGTCACGCAGATTCTAAGGTGACTACTTTGACAAGCAATTTTATTAAAATTTTAACACAAACGTCAGTACATTTGATGTAATACTCACGTTAATTCTATAGTGACAACTTTAACAAGTAATTTTATTAATGTTTTAACACAAACGTCAGTACCTTTGATATAATAGTCACGCAGATTATATACTAACAACTTTGTCAAGTAATTTTATTAATGTTTTTACACAAACGCCAGTAACATTGATTTAATAATCATGAAGATTCTATAGTGAAGAATAGTACTCTTCACAAGTTACTTGACAAATATAGAGTAGTATGATCACCTTAACATAAATATTCCATTATCAACTATTAAATAATCAAAGAATTACATAAAAATGCATGAAATTAAGTCTATTTGCAAGAGCATTTTGATATAATCTGTGAACTTTATAAAATATTAAAGAATATAATTCTAAATGTTATTTTTTTTCAATATGATTATTTTTCTTACATTTATAAATTTTGAAAGAAAAAAAACAACAAAAATTAACTTATTAATTAAATTAAACTATCGTTAATTGTTTTAAGAACGTAAAATTGAAAAGCTTCCATTAATTAAAAAAATCCATACAAATAATTCGCTTCTTGATCAAACATTTAATATTTTATTCATATTTAATTCATAAATTATCACTTACATAGATAATTTAACCTTTCGAGTTAAAACAATACACAGATATAAAAAAAAACATTTCCTTACGTTTATTTTTTTATAAACTACTATTTCAAGGACAGTTTTGTTTTCCAAAACTGTATTCATATACGATCAAATGTATTCAAATTAATTCTCCAGTTATTTTTTTTATAATTCCACTTTTGCTTCATTTAATATGAATATCAAACCACACATAAATCAATATCCATTTTCGTTTTTCTGTATTATATTATTATACGCATATTATGCTTTCATCCTTGCAGCTGCTTTTTTAATATTTATAACGAGTATGTGACGTACACATTTGGTGCACATAAATATCAACTTTGTTTATAAAATACTAGTACGCGTCGGTTTTGTAAGTAATTCCTTATAGGAGTGAAAAAGAAAAGCAGGCTACGCGCGTATTTCCACGATGTGCATAATAGGAAACAGGAATCTTTATTTTTTTTCTCATAAAAAAATAAATATTTCGTTGTTGCGTAACGAAAAGAAAACTGTTTTTTTGCTTTCGATTTTTATAAGCGAAAGAGAAAACTACAGAACTGCAGTTTTTGTCGACGTTATTAAAAAATGTTTCAATCTTTTCAAAACGTTTTATTATTTATGTAAGTGTAATTATTTAAGTAACTTAGTTTTTATTAGCAGAAAACTCTAAAATTTTCGTTCATTATTTATGTATACAAATATTATTACAAAAATCTGTTCATTTACTTTGTTTTAGAATAACTCGAATAGTGCGACTAATCGGACGAAACCGGACTAATTGAGGATTTAAATTCGCATAAACATAAACAGTACAAAAAGACCATGGACTGTATAGAAAAAAAAACTATAATTTAACTATAAAAAAATGTTGAATACTATTTATTTAGAATTTGTTTTGAATTTTTGAAATCGTTTTATAGAAAATCCGCACTGATCGAAGCCGCACTATTTCTTTATGTATCATAAAGCCATATTAGAGAGGAAGTCTAAATATAATTCTTCTGAGAAAACTAGTAAATAAATTTCGTTCACGTTAAATCCTTTAAAATGTTTCAAACAATAAATTATTTATGTATGAAAACATTACTATAAAGAATATACTTTGTTGTGTTCTTTCATTTGAGATTATTTACGAGACCATAAAATACATTTTTTTGTAATGAAGGCTGAATGGTGTTCTTTTCGTTCGTGAAATTTCCAATAGGAATTTGTATGGGAGGGGGTAAAAAAAACAAAACGAAGATATTTAACGCTCTGAATCATTGGGTCTAGGAAATCGTAAGTCGTGTTTGCTTCAGATGCAATGACCTGCCTCACGACCGTCCAAACGTAATCTCCATTTCTTGTACACAACGATGATTCATTTCTGCTTCTCACTATATTAGGTTTTTGGTATATTCCCAGTTCGGAATAACTCGTTTCAGCTTTTAACATGTTTTTTACAGCAACTGAAAAATCTTACATATTTCTAGAAAATTTAAATAAAATGAAGATTATGTCCAATTTACACCTTCTTATATAACCTAATGTAGAAATATAGATTTTTATGAACATTTTTTTTAATTTCGTCTTCATTTTCTTCGTAGCAAACAAAAACTCTAAATTTTCCACTAAAAAACCATCACCTTCTGCGTTCAATAAATTTATAACATTATATTCATCGATATTTTTGGAAATCAACTTTTTTGTTCTATAACAACTTCTGTCTATTTTATGAAATTGCGAACTTCGTTATCAGAGGTAACGTTAACCGATATATGACTCTACTATGAGATTTTTGATGTTCCTTTTAGATATGAAGACGTCTTTAGTGTTTTCACAATTATAGCAATTACATTTTTGGATATGTTAAATAATAAGACTAAGTACATTTCCTTGTAGTACATCAACCTTTTGAAGCAAGATCTTTCGAAAATATTTATTTATACTTTGATAATATTAGTATGGTAATAAGGACATAATTAGATAATTAGTATTTAG